AAAGCTAATTAATTTCGTATTTGATAATACCGATTGGGATACCGAGGTACCGATTGGGATACCGAAATATTTAGGGATTGGGATTGGGATACCGAAATTATTTAGAGATTGAGATTGAGATTGATTTTAGGGTGTAATTCGGTATTCGGGATTTTGGTATTTGGTATTGGGATACCGATACCGTACCGATTTCCACCCCTAATCCTTAGCCTTCAGTATCCTTGGAAAATAGACTTAACAAAAAATTGCGCGAAAATTGACAAAATTGCCCTCTGAAAAATCTGCCCAAATGGGCAAGTAATAGACTTCATCATCGGTCGAGAATAGCCTCAGCCCGAATTCGTGATCTGTAGCCTCCAAAATCCAACGAAAATGTTCTTTCGAAAAAATCGCCTGAAATCTGTGATGGTACCCCTTTGGAATCAGCTAAAAATGGACCTAGAAATATTCGCCCAAATCGGTGCTTAATAGACTTAATCATTGGTAAATGATAACTTCAGGCCGAACCGGTGATTCGTAGCTTTCGAAATCCTAGGAAAATGACCTTTCCAAAAAACAGCACGAAAAATTATGAAACGCCCTCTGAAAAAAATTATGCCCAAATCGGCATGTAATAGACCTCATCATCGATGGAGAATAGCCCTAGGCCGCCTCAAGCTGAATCTATGATCTGTAGCCTCCAAAATCCAACAAAAATGGCCTTTCAAAAAATAACTAAAATCCATGGTTGTGCCTCTTTGGAATCTGCCGAAAATGGACAAGAAAAAATTCGTCCAAATCGGTGCTTAATATTTGTGTTCACGCTCAAGTTGACACTCATACTCTCATCGCCTATCATCAACTTCTCTTTCCCTCTCATGAGCTTCTCTATTAGGGAAATCCATGAAGGCGAAATAGTTTTGATGGGTAATGTTTGGATAGAGGAATGAAGGATCAATGGTTTTTGCAAGAAAGGAGGTTGAATGATGGATAAGTTCAAAGACCAAAATTGAGGGTTCATTCATAGAAACTCGGGGTAATTATCATAATTGGTCACAAAACTATTCACTTTGTACAAAACGGTCACAAACCTTTAATTTTGTACGTTTCGGTAACATATGTTTGACTAGTAACAAAAAGATAATTCCATCAATCTCCATCCGAAATTCTGTTAGTTTGATCCAATCAGCCATCTCGTCAGCATCCACATCATCAAAATAATTAATAAAAAATAAAAACCAATTAAAACCCTAACCAAACCATCACCCCAATCCAACCCAGCCCATTCCTCTCTATCTCCTCTCCCTCTCTGCACCGCCCATCTGCAAAAACGCTTCCCCAAGTCGAAATTCATTCGATACTTGGGTTGCAACTTGCAAACCCATTTGAAATAAGTAAATAGCTAAGAGAGAAGGACCTATCCAGGAGATGAGCTCCTCCACGGCGGGTGAGTTGGGGAAATAGCTCCAAACTGGTACCAAACATACTGCGATGCCACCGTCGACAATTTCTTCAATCGCCATCAATCCATAATCCGTTGCCACCGGTGTTCCCAACCCCCCACCTCTTCTCCCCCGTCCCAACCGATTTACTCCACCTGAAGACAACACAGCCGCACCTTCAAACCAAAATGTTCTTTGACTCCCTTTCTCTTCACTATTTCAACTCTGTTATAAATACCCATCACCCTTTTTCCTTTCTCAATCATCACCCGATTCGTGCAACATAGAGGGCTGGAGGGTTAATGTTGGTGGTGGGATTTATCATCAGCCTGTAGATGATGTCTTCTATGCGGAGCTTGTAAGGCAGATCCTGATTTTGACGACGGATGACGACGATTCTACCGTGATTCCTCGCCAAAACAATGTTGGGTACTTCGATTCGATGTCACAACCTGCTGGTGCCACTCGAAGCTTCCGTTGAAGGGAAAGAGTGGCCGCCGCCAGCGTTATTAGAAGGTGGAACGAAAGGAGGCTTCGTCGCGGTCTCCATTTTTTGGGGGTTTCAGTCACAGCTGTTTAGGTTCTGGAGATGGATCGTGGTTAGGGAAAGGGAATGAGAGAGATCCTTCTCTCTTAGTTGTATACTTTTTTCAATTGGTTTTTATTGTATTTTTTATTAATTATTTTGATGATGTGGATGCTGACGAGATGACTGACGGTACCAAACTAACGGAATTTTGGATGGAGATGGACGGAATTACCTTTTTGTTATTAGTCCAAACATATGTTACCGAAACGTGCAAAATTAAAGGTTTGTGACCGTTTTGTACACAGAGAATAGTTTTGTGACCATTTATGATAATTACCCTAGAAACTCGAGATGATCCCTTCTGTACCCATGTTCAAAGTTGAAATGGCACAACTTGATCTTACTAAAGTTTATTAGACAGTTGATGTCATATTTCATTATGATTAAAGCTGAATGAATAGTTGATGACACAATTCATTTTTTAGTAAAGCTGAATGAATAGTTGATGACACAACTCAATGTGACAAGCATGACGAAATCTACACTAAATTAGATTATGATTTAAAGTGAAATTCTAGAACTTTGCACCTTTGGAACTTCTTATTTAAGTCAAATCACTCTTGGTGGGCTAGAATTTGAGATTTAGCCCCAAATTTTCGAGCTATAGAACTCCTTATTAAAGATGTTCTTAGAAATCAAAGTAGTTGATCATATTAGCTACTTTGTAGTTTGTACCATTATGGGGATTGTGTTGTAGTTTTTGAGTTGGGTTGGACTTGCCAAAGTAATAAAATTGTCGGCGTGTCCTTTGTTTGAGTTTTCATTGTTGTATTTGAGCTCTGATTGCGAAAAGTAACCAAAAGATTTGTAGAATATTGAGATCTGAGAGCCAAGTGAGAAAGAGGAATGAAAACGCTTATTATCTAAGTTGAGAAACTGTTTACCACTAAAATTTATCTTGTACCACATCGATTAAATACAAGGGATTAAATGACTTTATATGGCCAACTTAATTATAACAATTAAAATCAATTAAGATGGGTCATGTGTATTGGATTTTTGGGCCCATGACACCCATACCAAAGCCACTATACGCGCCACTCTTGCCATCTATTCCAAATTTTGGCTAAATGTTGGAGCCACCACATGATGTGTCATGGCCTCATGGGGGTGGCCACCATACTGCCACCCCCAGGACATGGTAATGGGGGTGGGCATTATACCGCCACCCATGGGGGGTGGTCACCATATAGCCACCCCAGGACGTGGTAAGGGGGGTGGGCACCATACCGCCACCCCCAGGACGTGGTAAGGGGGGTGGACATCATACCGCCAGGACGTGGTGAGGGGGTGGAAGGAGTGAAATATGAATATGTATGGAGAATGATGGTGCCCCATGATGTGCCGAGGGGGTTAGACACCATACCACCAACCCCAATAGATAGATGCCAAGAGGGGTGGACAACATACCTCCATGAGGTGGTCAGAGGGGTTACCAACTTACGCCCCCATGAGGTGATCATACAAGGGGGAGTCAAGTGGAAATGGGTCACCCTTGCATGCCTTAGCCATTTTTCTTTATAGACAAGCAAAGCTATGGAGGAGATACCAAGAGCATGGAGTGAGGTCTCAAGAGGAGGGGCCAAGACTGAAGAGGGTCTGCATCCAACTTCAAGGTAACCATCAGACCAGTTGATAGAGTAACCGTCACTCCACGTCAGCGGAGCAGTTTTTCGAAGCAGTTACTTCTGGTGGCTATAAATAGAAGGTGAAGATGATAGAGAAAGGGTTCGCCAAAATCACACCAGACAACACAATGTAAAATTTTATCCTTTTTATCTTTACCTTTTCCTCTGCAAATGTAGTCATAGCCATAGTTGTAGTTTCGAAGCTCTCACTGAACCTCCATAGGAGTAGAGTTAATGTAATTTAGTTTGCCTCGTAGATCATCAAGAACATCGAACACCCTTGTTTGAACTTTGTTCAAAGAGGCGTGGACTGTGTTTATTAATAGTTTGTTTGGAAGTAAAAAGGTGCAAAAATCAATTCTCTTTCCTTTAGATTTTCTCGTCGGGAAAAGAGAAACACAAGAGTACTCGATAGTGTACATGAAGGTTTCAACGAACATGATAAAAAAACTAAAAACTATATGTTTAGTTCGATTATAAGAGCATCATAAAGATCATCTCTCAAAAGACAACTGCTAAGAAACTGTGGGACTCTATGAAAAACAACTTACCATTGAAGTGCTGGTGTTCATACCTTATATATCAACCACTTGATCTTGCCTTATAACTCTTTACCATTGAGACGACGGTTCTGTGTGATGATAATGTGAAGACGTTATCCTAATCAGTCTAACAAATCTGTCTCAATAATTGCAGTCGAGTCATTTCAGACACTCAAACGACCAAGTAGAATGGTTCTTTGATACCTTTACAAACTCGCTCACTTCAAACAAAAAATTGTTGTACTGGAGGTTGTACCAAAACAATTAACAAATAAAATATTTTGCGTTGAAATTGTAGTTTGATTACCATTCAATCATTTTATAACATTAAATATATTGAACTTATCAAATTAAACTTTGATAGAAGATTTTTCCTATACAACTTCACAATGCCATAATCCCTAAACAGACTCAACCACAGTAACCAAGCGGCTAATCACATAAAAGCGTGCAAGGGTCGCCAACTATAATACCAGAGAGCCAAGTTCTTCATCCACTTTGGCCCTTTTGCGCATTTGTCATCCCTACAAGCTGCAGAGAACTGGGAAAATCGACACCATCACACAGACCCACTGCGCCACGTGTCCACTAGATGAGGTTTGCTTTAACGTGTGGCCATCACAGTCCTTCTCCCCCCACCACCTCTCCTAAAAATCATTCACAGAAATCCAATATTCTACCTCTTCCATTCCACTCCAACTCTCCTCGTAGATATTTTTTTCTGTTTTGTCCAATTGTAAATCCTTATTTCTTCCTCAAGAATTTTGACGTACTTTAAAAAAGGATAAGTAAGCAACGAGGTACCAACCAGAAACTGATAAACACTCATCCGAGAAAAAAATTCCAGTGATTTTGCCGTACTATATGCTATCTTGGTTTGGATTTGGGTTTGTGTAATGGCTGCCGTTGCAATTGCTAAGTTCCATGTCTACCCGGTCGATCAATTGGCGGCTTGCTGCGGCGAGCGGCAGAAGGGAAGCTGTAGGTTCCTCAGACCAGCAGCAGGGCTTTTTCGTGTCCAGAAGGGAGGTGGTGGTGGTGGGCAGTCCTTCTCGCGCCACTGCAGGGCTTTCAGGTCTGAAGATGGTGGCGGTGGGAGGGAATTCGATGATGGGGAAAGGGAAGAAGGGAAAGTTGAGATTTTGAAGGGGGGAAAGGCAGGGAAGTTGAAGAAGGGAGATGGGTTGTGGATTCCTGGGGTTGGGAGGTTGAATTTGCCATCAAAGGATGAGTACAGTAGAGGAATTGCTCAAGTGGAGGAAGTTTTCTCTTCGGTGAGTTTTGTTGAATAGTGACTAAATTGTGGATTTGGTTATGGTTAATATGTAAATCTAACAGTATATCTGATGAACCAGGCTGCAATCCACGTTGGAAGATACATTGTGACCATGATGAGCACTGGAGTGGTACTTGCTACTGGTTTTCAGTTGTCAGGTTAGTTTCAAGTTTCTGTTTTCTTCTTTTCTAGTATAGGACGATATCGTGTTATTTCTGAAATGTTCAACTGCCTGCAAATTTGCTTGTGAAGGTGGAGAAGGTCAAATGAACGATCTTATCTGGTATAGCTGGCTTGGAGGAATCATAATTGGCACAATGACAGGTGCTAACATGGTGTTAGATGAACATTGTCGAGCCGGCCCTCGTAATGTTGTCATAACTGGAAGGTATATATATATATACCCTTTGGCATTGCTGCCGTCAAGATGCTTTTGAGCCTCATCGTTTCCTGATATGAGCCATGTTTGTTGACTTACACAATTCACTTCATGCTGCTTGTTAAAACCAATAGCACAAGGGGATTGGGGAAGGCACTTGCTAGGGAATTTCTTCTGTCTGGCGATCGTGTGGTTATTGCATCACGAAGGTCTGTTCATTGATATCTCTGAATCTGGAGAAATCTTGCTTCTTGGCTATGTCATTGGTACTCATGATCTTCCCTTGATTTGTTCTTGAAAAAAAAGCAGCCAGGAATCCGTCGATATGACAGTGAAGGAGTTGGAGGAGAACCTCAAGGAAGGAATTGTCTCATCAGAAGGTTCATCAAAGCGGAATCTTTCCCATGCAAGAGTTGTTGGTATAGCTTGTGACGTCTGTCAACCATCTGATGTGAAAAAACTAGCTAATTTTGCAGTCAGTGAATTTGGTTCCGTTAACATATGGGTGAGTAATGATTCTCGCAAGCTAATGTCACCTTGTCACTTCCATATGTGTGTATCATTTGGTTCTTCTATTTACACATGGAGTGACTGATTCTGGCAACTTCGAATGATACCAAAATCAGATAAACAATGCTGGGACAAATAAAGGTTTCAGACCCTTGCTGCAGTTCAGCGATGAAGACGTAACACAGGTAAGTGAAACTGCATTAAACTGCACTATGTAGAGGGGTACATTTGCTGTGTGTTATAGTTTTACTGACATTATGTGGTTCTGGTAGATTGTCTCGACAAATTTGGTGGGATCAATTCTGTGCACCCGAGAAGCCATGCGAGTGATGGAAACTCAGCCCAAGGGAGGCCACATTTTCAACATGGATGGTGCAGGCTCTGGGGGATCAAGCACTCCTCTTACCGCCGTGTAAGCTTACACTACTACCGAGACAACAATGGCATTGTGTTTTCTACAATAACAGTGTACATAGAGGTTGAATGTTGTAAGTGACGCTCCTTTCCCTTCCGAACTTGTAGTTATGGAGCTACGAAGTGTGGTCTGAGACAGCTTCAAACATCACTTCTAAAGGAGAGTAAAAAGTCTAAAGTGGGAGTGCATACAGCTTCCCCAGGCATGGTCCTCACGGAACTGCTCTTGAGGTAACACTATGGAGATTCCAAGTTTAACACATTCCTGGTCTCTGGAGACTCGCTTTCTTCGTTCGCTAACTTTTTCGCTTACTGTCTCTTCTGCAGTGGATCAACGCTGAAAAACAAGCAAATGTTCAACATAATCTGTGAGCTTCCTGAGACCGTAGCTAGGACTTTGGTCCCACGGATGAGGGTTGTGAAAGGCTCGGGGAAGGCCATTAACTACTTGACTCCTCCCAGAATCTTACTTGCTCTAGTCACTGCTTGGTTGAGGCGTGAACGGTGGTTCGATGACCAGGTAATTAGTTGTCAAATCGCACTTATCCACGAAAGAGAGTTCACATCAGTAAATCAGCACGATTGAAAACTCATTTTACCATTCCCTTTGTGGATCATTTAGGGAAGAGCACTGTATGCAGCTGAGGCAGACCGGCTACGAAACTGGGCAGAGAACCGTGCTCGGTTTTCGTTCACGGATGCGATGGAGATGTACACCGAGAATACGTGGGTGTCGGTTTTCTCGCTCTCTGTTGTGTGCGCGTTCATTATACTGTCTAGCACCAGCGGCGTATCTCCTGGCACCTAAGTCAAAGAAGACGCTCCCTGATTTTTGGTAATTCGAAAAGAGGAACCAAGTAAAGCATCAAAGATACAGAAGATTTTAGGCCGCTCCCATTTTCTTAAGTTTTTTAGCCATTCATGGAAAGGGTCTCTGCTGGTTTATGTTAATATGGGCTGGATGTCTCGCGGAGCTGGTGATTGTCACCCATGGGTATTGTTGTATACAAAGTCCTGTAAATGTGAATTCCTCTTTCAGGCAAAAGATGGTTCTATTTATATGTAATGAAATTGTAAGAAAGTTAGTCTTGTAGGACTTTTTACGTTTCTCTTCAGCTATTCATGGTCGACAACTGTTCATTGTCGCTGTTGAGCGTAGATAATTCGAGCTTGATCTATAGCAACACACTTACAGCGAGAAGACTAATCCATCGTCAGAGTCAATCAGGGGCGGAGCTACAGCATGTCTGGGGGCGGCCCCCGAGAAGCTCGAAAGTCACGTATAAATAAGTCTGGATCGTGTGTACAAACTACAATTTTTATATAAAAAGTAAACCGTGCAAACTTAGGACATAAAGTTTCTTGTAACTCAGCGGAAGATGAGCAATTTTATCACCCAAAGTCTTGTGTTCGATGCCAAAGAGAAGCTGTACACAGCTTCCCACTAGGTTAATTGTTATTTGGTTAAGGGAAGCTGTAACCTTGGGTTCGATGCCAATTGCCAAAGAGAAGCTGTTTACAGCTTTCCACTAGGTTAATTGTTTTTTGGTTAAGGGAAACAGTTTACAGCTTTCCCCCTAGGTTAATTACTTTTATGGTAGTTTGCATAAACTACAACCAGTGGCGGACCCAGAAATTTTAAATAGGGGTGTCCACTTTTAAAAAATAAATTAAATAAAAATAAATAAATAAATAATAATTAATTCTTAAATAAGAAAATACATGACGCGTTCAAGTTAAAAAAGTCCACAATGTATTTTAATATTTGAAAATAATTGTGGAATACATTTGATGTCTACACTGCTCAAAATAATTGTCTTTGTATAACCTATTAGACAATCATTTACGAACTGATCACATATTCGATTTCTGAACTTGTTCTTGATGTAACCCAAAGCTAAAAATACTCTTTCAACACTTGTCGTACAACCATAAAATCAATACAAATTAAGGGTAGCTTGGAATTAGTTTAATTGTTAGGTTTTGAAAATAATTAGAAATAGTTAGGGAATGTCATTTTACTATTACACAGTGTTTAAAATCGAACAATAAATGAGTTGTAACCTAATAAAATTATGTTTAATAATAATAATAATAGTGTCCTACGTTTGAATTATCCAAACTACCGCTTATAGTCCCATGCGCAAACTAAGAAATGAGAGTAGGATAATCATTTTTCAAATTTCAAAGGTGTCCCCCATCAATTATAATTTTTTGGTCCATACTTAAATTATCACCTGGGTTGGATAATCGTTATCCCAAAATTTAGGGGTGTCCGGGGACACCCCCAATGTGCCCTGGGTCCGCCACTGACTACAACTTCTCCAGCTTTCCATTAGGTTAATTGTTTTTTTGTTAAGGGAAGCAATTTACAGCTTTCCCCTAGGTTAATTACTTTTATGGTAGTTTACACATAAACTACAACTTCTCCTTTTATTTTTATTTTTATAGTAAGTGGGTATTAGATACTTTAGTAATTAACGTTGTAATTTTTATTTCCCTTTTTAAGTTGTAGTTTACATCAATTAATTACCACTTTTGCTTCTTGAAATACATTATTTTTTCTTTTTCTAATTTATAGTAAATATAATGTGAAAAATATTGTATATGGTTATAATAAAACAAAATTAGTATAAAAATAGATTTTTAAACCTTAAATATTTTAATTATTAGTATTTTTATAGTCTTTTGCGATAATGTATTATGAAATCCGCCCCCTGAGCACTAAATGCTAGCTCCGCCCCTGGAGTCAATGCTAGAGCTGTCAAAATGTAACCCGACCCGAGTAACCCGCCCGATCAACCCGACCCGCAACCCGCCCGCAACCCGATTTGACTAAAAGTCAATGACCCGTAACCCGCCCGACCCGCAACCCGATCGACCCGCAACCCGACCAACCCGCAACCCGACCAACCCGCAACCCGATCGACCCGCAACCCGACCAACCCGCAACCCGACTAACCCGAACCCATAACCCGACCAACCCGCAGCCCGACTATAATAGAAGGAATTCGATGAAGATAAACCAAAAGTTGACATTTGAAATTCTAGTTTACTAAAGTCTGATCATTACATCATCAATTATTGACTTAGTATACTAATATACATCATCAACCTATTAACACATATAATATCATCAAATATTTATTTAGATACATCATCAACCTAATAGTGCACATTAATTTTTTCATCTTTTCCACCAAGAACAAGCTTTATTTTGTGTTCACAATTGCCATTAAATTGATTCACATAAAGTCTGAGTAGATAAGTAGAAATCCTTGGAGGGATTATCAACATTTTAATTGATGTATATAAATAATATATATAGATAACACACATACATATGGAAAACATAATTGACTTAATTAAGCCAATCATACAAATACAGTAGTATCTTTTCAAATGTTAATAGTTTATGATCTCTGTCTCTTTCTGGTTCAGTAGGTCAACTCTTATTTTTCACAATCTAAAACTTTTTCAAATGTTAATATACAGAACAAGTTAAAGATCTAACAAATTGATTTGGTGGACTAGTTGGCTTTTGTGATAGTCTTTTATATATATATATATATATATATGGGGAGTTCTACGGTACCCCGGGTGAAATCCGGGGTACC